AAGATACAATGATATAGATAAGTTATTGTTGTACGGATGACTCAGTTCGTTAATAAGTTAACAAAATGACTTGATCGAATTAAATATGAACAAACTCAATCGCACATGAGTTGCTATAAATTCCTCAAAACTATTGAACTAGTCTTTGCGTAGCTATACTAAAATAGGTGAAACTCAGTCTTTGGAAACTCGATGTGCTACAGAAGTACAGCCTTTATACTATTCCCGACCGTTGTTGCTACCTTGACGTGGTGGTCGGGCTTGCCTATCGTGATGAAGCAACCGAGCTATACTGGCTGGAACAACCGTTCCTCAAGGTCCTACCATGTCAGACAGGTCGGTTGAAGAGCGGTAAGACTAAAAGCAACAAACCCAAGGTCCGAAGGCGAAGTCGTACTGCTGACTGTACAGAGGTGTGACAGCAGTAAGGTGTTTCCTTCAGACAACCAGCATGACAGCGATGCTGCCTTCCCACAAGGAGGGGTGGGGTTAGAAAAGGTCGACCCTAAAAATGCACACCTCACCTTACCTCACGGATTTCCGTCTCCGGCGGTAAGGCCCTTTGAAGAACGGAGCTAACACGTCGAAAACCTTCCACGAAAAGGCCGTGCGCGACCGGCCTCAAGCAGTTGTCCCTTGGGCACTGCGGTCACGCTCTCAGGTCACTGAGACCACCTCTAATCCAATTTCCTTTTCAGGTACCTCCAGAACAACCCTTCCACGGTGTGGGCAACCGGGAAGTGATAACCGCCCTCATACCTCTAACAGCACGCAAGACCACTGTATTCATAATCAACCTTCCTCTTCAATTCCTATTATTCCTCCTACATCGACTTTCAACCCCAAACTTCCTCCTTTGGCTTCCTCCTCAAGTGTCACCATAGCCAACGATTCTAGTGCTCAAAACTCTGTCACAGGTCTACTGAAACCTCGCTCCAAACTACACATTGGAGCTTTCAACGTACGCACTCTATGTCAAATCGGTCAACAGGCTTCCTTGGCTAAAACCCTAGAGTCTCTTACCATTGATGTATGCTGTGTCTCTGAAACACGCATACAGGATCCCAGTGTGGTCATTCACTTGACCTCACCTCGGCAAAACGGAGAGCCAACGAGATACACCCTTCGTGTATCTGGTGACCCGATGGCCAGTTCTCGTGGACTGGCAGGTGTAGGCATAGCACTAAGCATGAGGGCCGAACAAGCACTGCTAGAGTGGATCCCCGTCAACAGTCGTCTATGTGCTGTTCGGCTGAACGGCTACGTAAGAACTCGGAAGGATAGGGACACACGTCGTTGCCTTTTTGTCGTTTCTGCCTACGCTCCCACTGACTGCAGCTCAGATGAAGTGAAAGATGAATTTTACAGAAAGCTGTCCGAACTTCTTCAGAAAGCTAAACGCTCAGACATAGTACTCGTAGCAGGTGATTTTAATGCTCAGATAGGTAGCTTAAACCAAACAGAAAGGCATTTAGGTGGATATTTTAGTATTCCGACACAGCGAACAGATAATGGTGATCGTCTGCTGCAGCTATGCTCAGACAATCGTTTATTTTTAGCAAACACAAATTTTAAGCATAAGGAGAGACATCGTCTAACATGGCGACCCCCTACACCAAACCAACGATGGACTCAAATAGACCATATTGCCATCAGTCATCGTTGGAGAGGGTCGGTAGAAGATTGTCGCTCATTCTGGAGTACCTGCTTGGACTCCGACCATGCCCTAATACGGGCACGCATCTGCTTGCGCCTCACTGGACGCAAAAAAGCCACATTAAAAAGACCCGTTAGAACTGAGTTGAGTAACGAGAAAACCAAAAGTAGGTTCCAGGAACAACTGAGGTCACACTTAGGTAGTTGTGAAAACGAGGCTGACCCAGATGTTGCTTGGAAGGGCATACAATCAGCTGTGGAAACAGCAGTGACATCTATTAGTGACTTAAACCACAGGGTTGCAAGGAACCAGTGGATTTCTTCAAGGTCTGTCACACTGATGGATTCTCGCAAACTCGTCCCATCAGGTTCTGAACATGATGAAGAGCGAAAACAAATCAGATCTAGGTTAAGAAAAAGTCTAAGGAACGACTGTGAGCAGTGGTGGGTAACGAAAGCAAAAGAGATGGAAAAGGCGGCGACTATAAGGAACACAAGACAGCTTTACAGACTAATAAAAGAAACTGGAATTAATAAATCAAGTGTAAGTGAGATTATTTCGGAAAAAGATAATACTCTCATCTGCTCCCAGTCCAGACGTTTAGAACGATGGGCGGAACATTTTAGAGAACAGTTCAGCTGGCCTTCAGCTACTCTACAACTACCCTCCATTCCCAGACAATGTGAATGGAACATTGAAGTAGGTCCCCCAACTCTTGCTGAAGTTCAAAAAGCTATAGTTAATCTGAAACGAGGAAGGGCAGCTGGTCCAGATGGATTGGCTCCAGAGGTCTTTAAGGATGGTGGTCCAATTTTAGCGATTAGGTTGACTAATATTTTAGCTAAGATCTGGGAATTAGACTTTATCCCATCTGACTGGTCGCAATCACTTATCGTCCCAATATATAAGAAAGGGTCAAAATCATCCTGTGACAACCACAGGGGGATTAGTTTAACAAACATAGTATCTAAAATACTGGCCTCGATAATTATCAGACGTCTAACTAAGACTCGTGAACTACAAACTCGAGAGAACCAAGCTGGCTTTAGACCTGGTCGTGGCTGCATCGACCACATATTCACCATTCGTCAGGTTCTAGAACACAGGCATACCTATCGGCGTCCGACGATGGTGGTCTTTCTTGACTTAAAAGCAGCGTTTGACTCTGTAGACCGCGAGACTCTGTGGCAGTGTCTGTCATTGAAAGGCGTACCTCAGAAGTACATAAACCTTGTGAAGGCTCTTTACTCGAACACTACTAGTCGAGTCAGGGCTTATGGCGAACTGTCATCTACTTTTGCAACTTCAAGTGGTGTCCGTCAAGGCTGTCCACTTTCTCCATTTTTGTTTAACTTCATCATAGACCTATTGATGGAAATAACACTCTCGTCGACTGAATTCTCGGGTATTGATCTCCTTCCAGGAAGTCCACTTATCGACTTAGAATACGCAGATGACATAGTCCTGTTTGGTGAAGACACTGACAAAATGCAGAGTCTTCTGGTAGCACTAAGCAACAATGCCAGAATGTTTGGGATGCGCTTCTCTCCCTCTAAATGCAAGTTGTTACTTCAGGACTGGTCTGCATCAACACCTAAACTAAGGATAGGGAGTGAAGTAGTCGAACGCGTTGACAACTTCACTTATCTTGGAAGTCTGATCAGCCCTAATGGGTTGGTGTCTGACGAAATCTCAGCACGGATTCGAAAAGCTCGCTTGGCTTTTGCCAACTTACGTCACCTTTGGCGGAGGCGAGATATCCGTCTATCAATTAAAGGACGAGTATACTGCGCGGCAGTCCGTTCTGTCTTACTTTACGGCAGCGAAACATGGCCTTTAAGAGTAGAAGACACCCGTAAGCTACTAGTATTTGACCACAGATGCCTTAGAAATATTGCTGGCGTCTGCTGGGATCACCGGGTAAGTAATAGTGAGGTTAGACGCAGGGTATTAGGGAATGATGGTAAATCTGTTGATGAGGTTGTGAATCTTCGTTGACTGAGATGGTTGGGCCACGTGTTACGTATGCCTGAACACCGATTACCACGATGTGCAGTGCTAACCGGTGTAGGGGATGGTTGGAAGAAGGTTAGGGGCGGCAAAACCAAAACGTGGCATCAGTTCTTGAAGACACTAACTTCTAGTCTGAGCCATGTTGGTAGATGCAGACTACCTGGTTGGGGTCCGCGTGACTATCGTAACCAATGGTAAGATACTCTTGATGACATGGTTCAGAATCGATCACAATCGCGTGGGTGTATATACTCTCTGTCTTCCCTTAAACTATGAGATTAAAATCGCTTCATATCTTTCTTTCTACGAACTAATTCTTTCTTCCTGTACTATATCCTTATATGCAATCTTTCTTTTATATATTACCACAACTGAATTAACTACTTTTATGAATCCGGTGTTCATCTTGTTGTGTTAATGAGGTATGACAACTTGGACTGATGCATATATGTGTCTGGTCCTACGTTGTAGCCGATCGACTGACTGAACCACCAAGTGAAATCAAAAGATAGAAGAGAGGAGGTTCGAAGATATACTTGATAGGCTATCAGTATATCGAGAATCGACTGATCTAATCTGGCTAGCGATCGCAGGGGATGTTGAAAACGGTGATGTGGTGCGGATACATGACCGAGCTCTTTCAGCTAGGTGAACCTGTTAAAACTAATGTGGTCAGCATCCCATGTCGAAGACTTACAGAGCTATTGATTTTGGAGATTTATTTACCACTACGCTATCAGCACAATGAACATACAACCGAACAGTGAGAAAGGGGTAAAACAAATTAAATAATGTGAAATAGTCACGCTTATAAAAGAAATATACTTTCAATCTTGATAATTCAATAAAGACGGGTCACGCCAAGGTTAAACTGCGTTATAGACCATAACTGTTAACTTTGCTTTAACTGTCCTTTACATATTTCATGATTCTTCCAATTCTGTTATTATTTCAGTTACACTATGTTTCCCTCCCTGTTCTTTTCAATTCAACATTATTCTGGCAAGCATTCCAATTCCAATTGCTGTTAAGTACTACTTATATCTGTCAGCATAAGTAGCGTACACCACAATACAATCAGCTAATGAGAAACCACGAAATTGTCATTCTCCTCTTATATAAATCCATAAAGGGGATTAATTGTATAGAATTCAGTCATATATTTGATTAAAACACGAGCAGTGGTACTATAAACTTATTTGGTATCCGAATTTACATCTTCGTTGCTTTGTTCGTACCTAGTAAAAACATAGTTTGCATTTCTAATGATATCAGCTAATAGACAGCAATTTAATGATTTCTTAATCTTAAGTTTTCCTCTTCTTTTCAGATATCTTTAACCATCAGATGGGAATTACAAGATAGTTCAAATGAAGATATAGTTTGCGTTGAATTCCCTGTTCAACTTATATAAAGTACAATGTATAATGTAATTCATTCATTAGTTTAGTTAGTATATAACAAACCATTTATCTTATTTTGCAATAAATTATGACAATGAGAAAAGAGGGACAATCATAAACTTCTGAAGACTTATTTTTCATTTTGATCTATCAGGACAATTCCTTGTTTGTTTATTTTTAATATAAAAAAAAGACAGACAATAATAATTATTTCTTACTGATTTCATCTTTGATGCATTTTGTTTGATTGATTAGTAAAAATCTTTCTGATCAGAGAAGGGTTTAGTGGAAATTGTAGTAATTTAGTAGTTGAAGTATTGAGTCAACTGAAGCTAGACCAACATGGAAAATCTGGAGGCACCAGAACGCCGTTTCATCCTAGTATGGGACTCCTCAGCAGTGCACATTCACGATCCCACTTCATGAGATTCAAACCCAGGACCAATGAATCTCCCATACTAGGACGAAACGGCCGTCCAGTGCTTCCAGGTTTTCCACGATGGTCTAGCTTCAATTGACTCATGATTTCAACCTGTGTAATATTGTTTTCTTTATAATAAACAGTAAAGTGGGGCATATGTTTTTAACTAACCAATGTGGCCCTCACTATCTCTGTAATCCTGAGGTTTGAGGTCATAAATAAGACATTGGTCTAGTATTATCCATAAACTTGAAGTTTGAGTGAAATTACTAGATTTATTTTTGTTCATCTTTCATCAGTGTTCACTGTAGACGACAAAGTTCGAAATACCCAATAATCCTATTTTTACTGTATTGTGTAACATTTTTGTTCACTGAATTTGTGTCAACTTGTTGTATTTGATATGTGTAATGTAAAATCGGACTTGATATAAACATACTTGTCGTGGATATGGCAGTCAAATAGCCTGCCTTTGAAGGTAGATGTGAGCATCGCTAATCAATTGGGTTTCGGAATAAGAACCATTCGAGCGCGATTGTAAATTCTTCATGATTTCCTTTTTATGTTGCTAATTTGTATTTCCTCCAATAGCATCTTCGATGCGTAATCTTATCACTAATACTGTTACTAACTCTACTACTCATCTCGCTGTACTAATGGGGTATGGCGACTTGGAACGATGTACACACGTACCAAGTTCTACGTTGTGATTGACTGACTAACTGGTTCAGCAATCCACAAAATGTTGAACTAGCTACCATACAGTGCTCCTCGACTTTAATCATTCCTGAAATTACTTTTATTAATAGTATTAGAAGTAATTGAAGAGGGGATAGTAACTAGACTTAATTAATTACTGAGTAGACTAAATTGACTGACCGTATTCAAACGATTATAGAATGAATCTTTTTCAAGATTTCCCCGTACTTGAAAATGAAAATCGTTTAATTTGTCTATTCTGGTTAGCGTTTTTTTAGCAAAGTTGTTTCCTACGGCAATACAATGAACAAGTTAGATTCAACTAAACTACTTGAACGTCGCAGATCACCTAGCTCTTCTATCACACACACACACCAAGAAATGCAGGTGATGACAACTAGTGTAGCAGCAGCCTCTGCATCACTAAGCCTCAACATACATAAGGCAAGAACCAAGATCCTCAAATACAACACGGAGAACATCAATCTAATCACACTTGGTGGAGAAACTCTGGAAGATGTGGGATGTTCCAAATATCTGGACAGCAGCATCATTGATGAACAAGAAGCATCCTATGCAGACGTAAAGGCGAGGGTTGGCAAGACAAGATAGTTCCACTGTACTGGGCTGAAACTTGGAAAGCCACCAAAACCATCATCAAAGATGTACAAGTATTTATAAATGATTATCTACACAATATACTCAATGTTGATTGACCTGATACTATCAGCGACAACCCACTGTGTGAGAGGACAGACCGGCTTCCAATTGAAGAGGAAATTAGGAAAAGACTCTGTAAGGTGAATAAGAGATACATTGTTGACACCATCAAACTGCATCACGAAGTATTCACTAACTTGGAATCATGAATGGAAACTGAGAAGAGGAATAAGTACGAACACATTACGTCGGGAATTCTAAGCAGATATAGAAAGAATGAATATCAACTGGAAAGGATTATCGAGGACAGAGTTGTCTGGAAAATGCTAGTGGTCGGCCTTTTCTTTCCTATTAGAGGGTAAGAGGCGTAACTAAGTGAAAATAAGCGTTAAATTTTCATTATACAAAGTTTGTATTTAAATAAAATGTTTAAAATAACATTGATTCATTCATCTATCACTACAGTTCATAGTCATTCGTTATATGAACTGTAAATATGCATCACTCAGATGTCATCTAAATCAACGTTATATTTTATACATGCCTATTTTAATCATTTACTGTATGATGTTTGTGTATTGTTTGTCTCAGTTAAGAAATAAATCAACAATACCTAAATAAGGGAAAATCAATCAGTGAGTTTCGAAGTCATTTATTTCCAACTGAATTATATTGTATATATGTATCTGGGTCTGTCTGTAAGTGTGTATGTGTGTGTAATTAACCATTAACCATTTTTTGAACAATAGCACCAGGGAAACTGTATAGAAATAAGAAGACAATTAAACAAACCAAGAATATGACAAAGATTTTGATCAATATCCACTTTAAACGATATTTGACTAAGTAACGAAGAGTATTCAACGGTCCAAGGAATTTCATAAATGATGCATCTGGTCGACTATATATAAAATAAAATGAAAGCAATGATTAATATTTAATTCTGTCAAAATCAATACAAATTGAATACTATGATCGGACCTAAATTATGGGTACACTGAAAACTAGAAAATACTAGAAAAAACTGTTCCAGTTTAGTACAAGACTATTTACCATTACTCATTCACAATCCCACAAGAGATCAAACCCATAACCTTTAGTCTCATGTATAGACGCTTAATTTTTAAACCACTAAGATGAGATTCTATGTCAGTCAGTCAGTCAGTAACAACGTAGAACTTCGTACGTACGTACATCATTTTGAGTTGCCATACCAAATTAGCACAGAGATGCAGTTGTCGATTCGAATCCCGTAGTCGTAGAGGTACCATTAATTATATTAGAAAATTAATTAATTTAATCAAAACAGTTTACCTTATTCAGAAGTAGTTAGATAATTAAACCGGTTTATAATATTTTGAAAAAAAATTCACATGCATCATTCTATAATTCAATTGTGGATGTCATAAATTTGGCAATAAACTAGAACTTAAAAGATAGACGATTTCGTGAAACAAATAGGACTATTATCCCTATCACTATTGTTTGCATGGATACAATTAAAATGATCAACATCTTGTCATCAATATGGTAACAAGTTTTTAAAAAAAATTCGATATGAAATTTTTTCACTTGTCAAATATTGTGTATTTTTGTAGTTAGAGTATGAGTCAGTCAGTCAGCTACAACGTAGGACCAGGCACGTATATGCATCGGTCCAAGTTGCCTTAACTCATTAGCACAACAAGATGGACACCGGATTCATAAAAGTAGTTAATTCAGTTGTGGTAATATATAAAAGAAAGATTGCATATATGTACATAATACAGAAAGAAAGAATTAGTTTGTAGAAAGAAAGATATGAAGCGATTTTAATCTCATAGTTTAAGGGAAGACAGAGAGTGTATACACCTACGCGATTGTAATCGATTCTGAGCCATGTCACCAAGAGTATCTTACCATTGATTACGATAGTCACGCGGACCCCAACCAGGTATTCTGCATCTCCCAACATGGCTCATACTAGAAGTTAGTGTCGAGTATGAACAATAGGAAGCGACATCAGTTACTATGTTAAGCAATTTAGTCGTCTGGTATATTTGTTATTTTTGGTCGACGAATTCCATGTATATTGACTGAACGATCTAGATGTGTGCTTGTTAAACTACTAAGATCGTGGTGCCTTCTAGACGGTCAGCTATAAGCATCAATGACTCGATGCAGTTTATTAAATAACAATGAGGTTTCATTATTCAAGATGATTGACCAAAAGTATTTGATTTTCAGTGATTTTAAACGACTAGTCGTTCGTGATGGGATTAACAAGCGAGAAAGAAAAATCAAAGTTGTATGAAAAGTTTTAGATTGGTTGAGTCATACTGATTGGCTAGACCAGTATAAGTATTTCATGTGCTTTGATTAACAGGATCGTGAAAATGTAAAGGCTAATTTCCCCTATTTCTGACTCCAATAAATAATATCCCGTTAACTGAGTATTTAATTCAGGCTAAATCTCCTAGTAGAATTATGGATTTACTCGAGATTATTCAAAAGCCTGAACACCAGTTTATAGAGATAGTTTATTGTTAAAGATTGGTAAAATCCGCAAGCGTACAGGAAGCAAGCACACAGGGAAACCAAGTGAGTGTGTGTTTGTGTGTGTGTTAAAAATTCATATATTTATGAGTGTTAATTGGTTGTGGATAAATTATTGATTGTCTGTGTGTTACAACCAATGGGAGAATAGGTTAAAGATTGATGTGCAACCACTTGCTCAATCAGACTCACTCAGAAAATTACAAAGTGGGTTAAGTGCCTATATTACAGTGAGCAGATAAATAATACAGTAGTTGAATGAGCTTACTACAAATCTCACACCTGTGGAGTTCATCCAGTGCTTCCAGGTTAGGGTTGGTAATTGTATTTCAATATTTAAAAGATTTATTATCAGTATTTTTGACTTCATGTGACTAATTCCGATGCTCAATTATAAATAAACATATTTCTTCAAAGTTCTATCCGTATAATTCACTTAATGTTAGAAGTGATATAAATCTTATAGTTTTCATTACGCATTGACATTAGCTGATGATAAATATTTTTTGTGATGTCCCAATGAGTAGAAAAATGTGTTTATAAGGTTTTGTCAATTTATGTAAGCCATTTCTTCAGAGTAGATAGATAGTCACTAAAAATCGTGGAACCCTGAACAGCTGCTTTTTGTCAGTTTAGAACTCTCATACAGTTCATATCGATGAGCAGGTCACTGAAGATAAGTTTGTTATTTAAACTATAAGATTCAATATTCTTCACAAATTTATATGCTAAAATTAGTCGTGTACTCACAAATTGCCGGAGTTTTTTTGACAAGTCGTGACTAGTGAGATACGAGTGTGGTATTGGATCCTAACTCATTAATTTAAAGAAGTAGATTTCGTCACAATTGATTGATCACTGGGTGGTGATCCATGTCATGTGTGTCAAGTCATTATTTAGCGCAGATCGAATGTTATCGACCATGGTGCAATGTGGCCACCAGTCTACGTGATTCGACATTGCGGGCGCTATATATTGAGCTTTAGATGGTGGTTGGAGGTAGTCGACAGGAAACCCTGGACCCGGCTTTCGTGCAACTTGACACTCGTCAGCGAGGTGTACCTGTACCTATAATCCAGGGTTTCGTGCCGACTACCTCCAACCACCATCTAATCTCAAGTAGATTTCGTCTCCAGGTCTGATAGTCCTGGGATCAGTCTTTAGTAGGTTTGCGAATGCACACTGTTGAATAGCCTTATACCAATATAAGGCCATTATCCAATACTTCTTAGTTTGCAGTGGCAGTCTAACTAAGGTCATTTAGCTACATAAACCATAAAATCCAACAATCTCGATAAATCATAATGTGAAGTATATGATATTGTCTACCACTCAGTAAGCCTCCAAATGCCCTGGTACGGCCGAGAGTGGGGAGACTCTGCTCTCCCTCTCGAAACACTCTCACACGGCCACGCGTATACAGCCTCTGTCAGGGAAGTCCTACTCATTGCCTTCTCGTGGCATTGCTGTTGTTTACGAAAACAACACGACGAAAAGAGGATGTCCGGCGCTTTAACGGGATCCCAAACCAATGGTGCACATGGGCTCCAGTATCCTGAGGGAACAAATGACGTATGAACCAATCGTTGGTCACCGGCTACCATGGAACTGCATCTCCTCATGATGCTCCACTGCCTTGTGGATCAGACCTTTAGGTCAAAGGCTCGGGGTGTGGCCTCCTAAGATAACCACCTGCTTCGGTCTGGGCACACGGGAAGTATCACAGCCCACACACAAATGATGAACTGCCTATAATTATGGAAACTACTTTACTTGCTTCAACTAACAATCAAAGGATTCAAATTATTATTATTATTATTATTATTATTATTATTATTATTATTATTATTATTATTATTATTATTATTATTATTATTATTATTATTTACCACATTATTCACCCTCTTTTATACTTATACAGCGGCTCGTCTTTGGCGGAAATTCGACTTTATCTAAACGTCCTCGAGTCACTGCCTGATTGAAAATTGTATGCTACCACCAAATACGAATACTGATTCAGTTTTTCTGAAATCACATGCACCATTCAAACTAGCTGCCTTCAACGTTCGCACACTTATGCAGGTCGGACAACAGATAGGGCTGGCTATGTCTTTGGGAAGTCTTAATATCGACGTTTGTTGTCTATCCGAGACCCGTATTCAAGACTCTGGTGAAGTACTACAAATTCGCTCTCCATCTGTCGCCTCAAAAATCTTGTTTTACGTGCGCTTATCCGAGGACCCTGTGGCATCTTCGTCTGGTCTCGCTGCTACCAAGGATGAGTCCTACCACCAGTTAACTGATATTCTCCAGAAAGTGAGTTCGACAGATATTGTAGTACTAGCCGGAGACTTGAATGCTCAGGTCGGGCGTCTAGGCACAGAATAGAATCGTTTAGGTGGCCGATGGGGACTCGTTGTTCGCAGGACAGATAACGGGGACCGTCTACTGCAACTGTGCACAGACCACAACCTGTTTCTGGCTAGCACTAACTTTCGGCACAGTCATCGCCGACGTGCCACCTGGCGTCCTCCCTCTGCATCTCAAGCCTGGACTCAGATTGATCACATCGCGATCATCTACGGCTGGCGTGGTTGTGTACAAGACTGCCACTCCTTCTGGAGCATCTATCTGGACTCTGACCATGCCTTGGTCTGCGCCAATCTTACCTTACTTTTCAGTGGCCAACGAAGTGACCGTCACCAAAGGATTGATGTTAGCAAGCTGGTTGCATTTTCTGTTGCAAGTAAGTATCGAAACGAGTTAGTTTGTAGGCTAGCTACCATTCCACCGAAAAGTATAGATGAGCATTGGTTGCAATTGCATGACGCCATAAAAATGGCGGGTACAGTCAGTTGTGGGTTCGCAAGACGTCCCATTTATAAGCACTGGGTTTCTTCAGGTTCCTTACAATTCATTGAAGCCCGTCGGTCTACTCCGCGTGACCGTGAGTCTGACCACAAACGAAGGATGTTACGTAAGGAAATTGGGCAAAGCTTGCGTAAGGACCGAGAAGCCTGGTGGTCGGAGCGTGCTAATGAGCTGGAAGCAGCAGCTGCATCTGGTAATTACCGGAAGCTCTCCCAACTCATCCAAGCCACTGGCAGCAAGAAGTCTGGTGTGAGCGAAACAATCTGCGAGGATGATGGGATGCCAATCACTAACATTCATCGACGTCTTGGTCGATGGGCAGAATTTTTCGAAGGGCAGTTCAACTGGCCTGCTGCTCCGGCAACATCGGTCAGACTGTCCTGCCCTCCATGGCCGGTGACGACTGATCCACCAAATGAGGAGGAAGTCCGCAAGGAACTCCAACTCTTGAAGCGTTACAAATCACCTGGCCCAGATGACTTACCTCCGGCTCTT